GAAACAGAACCTTGGCTTGCTTTTCGTTCTCAGGTATGTAATGGAGGTTTGGCACGAACTTAAAAGAAATGGCATCACCTATGTAACCCACATGGGAAAGACTGGGAGGCCTTCCTGGAGGAAACAGGGGAACTGGTCCGTGCCTGAAGATTCTGCATCTGCCACCACGTGGTGAGGAGCACCCTTTTTTCACTGTGTATGTAGCGAGAACCACTGGCATCTGGAGTCACCAGAGGAAAATGGGCTTTAAATGCCCAACAAAGGAATTGGTAGTTTATCCTGGAGGTCCCTGGGAGCCCCCGGATGCTCTCGGAGCAAGGGCATGGCATAGCCAGAGCTGGCCTTTAGGAGGTGACTTTGGCATTTGTGCGGAGGGAGGATGGGCAGGAAGGGACCACTTAGGTCGCTGGGGTGAGAAGCAGTGAGAGCCTGAGCTCAACACCCCTTCAGGCAATGCTTACGGGGCCATTCCTCACAGTCCATCCTGCCCATCTCCCCCCATTTGTTCACCACAGGGTCCACCCCCTGGATTTCTCCTGATGTCCTGAGCAGGGCAGGAGGGCTGACCGCTACCGAGCCAGCCCACCTTCTTCTTACTCATCCTTCTTCTGTTAACATCCTTTACCCTGTGACTTCTAAGGTCCCTCCCAGCTCTAAATCTATATCTTAAAGCACTCTATTAATGTCCACTATCAATAAATAGGATGCATTATCCTGACCATCAAGATCAGGGAGAGAGAGAAAGCACCTGGGTCTAGGAGGCCTGAGGTTATTCAAGAGGTCAAACAACAGAGACTGTCAGTCAGTCAGACAATAAACATTTATTAAGCACCTACTACATGCCAAGCACTATGCTAGGCATGGGGCATGTAAAAAGAAGCAAGAGGGAGGCCACCCTGAAGCAGCTCCTGACATCCGCACACCCTCACCCAGGGCTCCCGGGGCTGAGGAGGATGCTGCTTTTCCTGGGCTCACATGTGGCATCTGAAGGGGCATGTGAGGGTCCCGCGACCAGCCTGCCAGCTTTGGGTGCCCAAGATAAGGCGGCCTCTTCAGAAGGCTGGTCCTCTGGCCCCAGCTCCCCGCTTCGCCACAAGGCTGCCCTATTAATGTCGTGCACATTTCGCCAGGTTCAGAAATCCTGCCGCTATCACCTTTCAGATGCCTGGAATGACTTCTGAAGCCGAGCGCTGCCTCAGGAAGGCCTTATCATCTGATACTGCACATTATGAGCCCGTCTGGTTTGAGTCAGGGCTGGGGAATTTCAGGAATGACGTTTCCAACATGCCCAATTACGCTGAGTGCCTCGAGACCGCCTGGTCTGAGAAAACAACTTCAGACGCTTGGCCCATTTGTTAACCCTCTGTGATGCACCCAGACTGGACGCACAAGGACAATGTGGGCATCCCTAGTGGTGCAATGGGTAGAGCAGGTGCTACTGGTGGATTCAGAAAGACCCGAGTTCCAATCCAGCCTCACACACTTAACAGCTGTGTGATCCTGGGCAACTCACTTCCGTACTCCTGACAGCCTCCATTTCCTCAACTGAAATGGGATAAATAACAGTGCCAAAAGTATTTGGAACTCACTTAGCCCAGTGCCTGGCCTGGGGCCAGTAGTAGGTGCTATAGGGATCCTGGAGTCAGGAAGACCTGAGTTCAAATCCAGCCTCAGACATTTACTAGTGATGTGATGCTGCACAGGTGACTTCACTATGCCTCAGTTTCTTCATCTATAAAATGGGAATAACAGCACTTATCCTTTGTGAGGATCAGATGACATAATGCTGGTAAAGTGCTTTTCATGTCTCAAGATGCTATACATGTACGAACCATTGTTGGTCTAGAACCCATCCCTCCCCAACAGTCGACATAGAAGGACTGAAGCAAAGCTTTCCACACATTACTGGGGGGATGGAAGATGCTCAAAAATTTAAAAAAAAAATCCACATCGCATGAAATCGTCTCGAGAGAGAGTGGGCTAATAACCGTGTGTGGTACCGGTGGGTGGGGGAGGGAGCCGGGAGGGGAGGGTGCTCCACACAGGGGACAGCAGCCTATGCGATGGCCCCTCCGAGGGTGGATGCCATGGACGGGAAGAGCAGGAAGGCGGAAGGGTGGAGGCTGGGAAAGACCAGGCTGAAGTCTGAGTGCTTCATCCTAGAGGTGACAACACCCCAGCTTCCATCTCTCGGCTGCTTTCTCCCAGGCAGTCTGAGCAGGACCCTGGAAACTCTTCTCCATACTCCTTCCACACGCTGGCCATTATTAACATGCTCATTACTTCAGGAGGGAGGCTGCAAAATGAGGACTTTGGTCCCCCGTTACTAATGCATCGTTCCATCACTTTTTCTACAAACATCACACTAGTTCTCTCAGCCCACTCATAAATGGCGGCCCCTTCCTAGACAGAATAGAGACCGTGCCACACTTTTACACTCCAGCTTTGAGGTGGGGTTTCTAACCTTGGAGGATCCCAGAGTTGGAAGGGTCCTCGGTGCCTCATGACTCTGACCCATCCAAGAATCTGCTACACAACAGAATCCTTCATCCAGCCTTTGATCAAAGCCCTTGGAAGCTGAGGAGCCCCCTCCCCAGCTCGCAAGGCAGCTTGTCCCCACTCTAACGATGGGGGACATTTTGGAGCACAGCTTCCCCCATAACCCCAAATTCCGCTTTTGGGGCCCAACAGAATAAGGCAAATGTTTCTTCCTATTCAAACCCTTCAAATACTTAAAGACAGCTATCAGGGTCCTCTCCTTTCCACCCCAGGCCAAGCATCCCTGTGTCCTTGGATTCCCCAATGGCATGAACTCCAAACCCTCCAAATCCTAGTGAACCCCTAGGCAGATACTGTCCAGTGTTTCAATATCCTTCTAAAATGTGAACACAAAACTGCAGAAATCGGATTTTCAGGGGAAGCTGTTGCCAACTCCCAATCCCATGGTTAATGGTATTTGTCCTTGTGCATAGAAGGCAGGTGACTAGGAGGGGGACTCCCAAAGCTCCCCAAAGTTAAAGAACTCCAATTACACCTGGCTGAGAAAGCTATAAATCTAGGCTACCGCTGCCTCTCAGCTAGCCTGTGGGAGCTTCTCTGGCCATCTGGTAAAGGTAGCGACCTCATCGCTTCTCACTCAGGACAAACAGCCCCGGGAACCCAGGAGTCTCACAGGATGGGAGAGAATGATCGTTGGAGAAAGGCTTGGGTTCGGGTGGGTCTAAGTGGAGTAACAGGTCAAAATCTGTTTTCATTCTGCCTAGTCCAGAGAAGTTCACTGGCCCTGATCTGAGACTGTTCCCAAGCCCTCCTGTGCACGTGATGGCTTTTGGGCTGCGTTTATGACGTCGAGCATAGAATTACAAATGTGCCTCCTTTAGGTCTGTTCCTTAGCCAGATGGGGCTCCTCTTTCAAGTTAAACAAAAGATATAGATTTGAACTCACCTAATCTACCCAGATTTTTTTCCCATCACTATTCTTTCCTTGCAAACAGAGGACAATCGGAATGGTTCCATTTATCTCCCGATATTAGCATGAGGGGAGGAGGAGTGATCTCATTGCACGCAAATGACTTCTCAAGATCCAGTCCTAAGCTTTGAGCTCCGAGGGGCAGGCAGCAGCATTATGGACAAAATCAGGATGAACTGGGCTCAGATTCCACCTCGGATACTTAATAGCACGTCACATCAGCCTTGGGGAAAATCCCGAGGCACATATTGTGAACAGAGCCCTAGACTCAGTCGGGAAGACCCAGATTCAAAGCCAGCCATTGGCCCTCATTAGATGTGTGGCTGTGCACAAGTCACTTCTCTGGCCCTCAGTTTCCTAATCTGTAAAATGAAGCAGTTGGACAAGAGGTTCCTTGCAGCTCCAACTCTATGATCTCACCACAACATCGGAGCAGAGTGAGAGCTCTCTATTGGTGGAGTGTGCTCGCACCCATGCTGAAGAACTCTTAGCTCCTTCTAGGTCGAACTCTCTGGAGTCCCCAGGAGAGTTCCAAGCGAGAGCTCTGGAAAGGTTTGGGTTTTTTCCCCCAACACCCTCTTGGGTAGGAGTGACTTGGAGGGGGAATATTCAGCACTAAATGAATGGGTATTTTCCATGGGAATCTATCCTCGTCAACCTTGAACATTCTTAATTCCGCATAACCTATATTCTTCACCCTTCCTGGCCTGAGCACTTACACACCTTTACAGGGGGGCTATACATTTTACAAAGCGCTTTACTTCCTGCAGCCCAGTGAGGGAGGTAGTCAAGGTACCATTTCTCTTCCCTCCTCCCAGGCCACTTCTCTTTGTCGGAGAAGCGAATGGAGGCACTGAGAGGGTGAGTTTTGTCCCAGGTCACACAATAAGGGCCAGAGGTGGATTCACACCAGGTCCCGACTCCCAGACCAGTGTTTCAGTGGCCACTCTGGCCAAGTATGTTAACATGGTGTATTTCACACGTGGTTTGAGATACCCAGAAAAGTTATTTCTAGGAGAAATCTCCCTCTTACCCAAGGAGGACTGGAGCATGCAGGTTTTCACATCTCCTTGGCTGTCAAATGTTTCAGAGTAGATGCTCTTTTCTGTTAATGTTTTCATCACAGAATCAGAGCAAACTTCTGGCGTGGTAGGAGCTCCAGGGGTCACCTCATCCCACTTGTACCCAAGCCCCTCTATAAAATACCCAATGAAGAATGTGCACAAGGCTTCGGCTTGAAGACCTCCTGGGAAGGGAAAGCACAGTGTCTCCCAAGCCAGCCGATTCTGATCCGGGATGGCCTCTGGGCTTGGAGTGGGCTTAAAATTCACGTCAAGAAGAACTGACAAAAAGTTTTATTTGCAAAGGTGAGTTGTCCCCAGGCCAAGAGCCTACAACATCCTGCTGCTAAAATTAGGACAGAGGATGCCAGACAATATCATTTCACAAGAATGGAAAACTTTGAATAAACCCAGACTGGCAGGCTTGTCCAACTCCAGTGTTATTTACAGCCAGAAGGTAACACCCACAGGACGAGGCTCGGCTTTGCCTGGCATGCTACGACAGAAGCTTTATTCATCTCATTCGGGGGGAAAAGCCAATTGACAAAATAAAATTCAGTTGCAAATTCACAGCTACAAACTTCAAAAGTATAAGTTGTATGTAACTCAAAAAATACAGGTAATATTTTATAACAATAACTTACAGATACAAACGGATGATAAACTACAATTTCACAAAGAATTGTAAACATTTTGCACACTTGTCAGTCCTCTCTTTTAGGCAAAGTGCTCTTTTGATGACGAATAAATTAACAGACACACAGCTAGAGGAAACTACTTCCAGACAATACAAAAGGGGGTGGAGCCATCTTCTTGTAAACATTCTCTTTTTTAGAAAAAGGAAGAGTTAACAAAAGTGTCTTGCAGGCCAACTCTACGTACGTACCTGGGCAACAAAATGATCTTGAGGATGCTTTGGATGTTAAATAAAAAATTAACATCAATATTTTTCAATGATATTTAATACACAATAAATGACTTCAGATTATATCCTTAAGAATTTCTATCCCTGAAACAAAGAAGTTAGGTATGACTTATTGGTAGCTGTGTCATCGAGTGGGGTAACAAGGCCTGGAGTCCAAGAGCTGTCGGTGAATGAGCTACAAAAACAGAAAGAAATGGACAGCTCAATTTGGATGGCATTTAGCTCCTCAAACAAAGAATGGGCCCCTTTCCTCCTGCTTTCCCTCCCATGTGCTCTCATCATAGCTTAGGGCACTATCTGCTTAAACCCATTCAACCAACCCCAGAGCAGGGCCACGGCCTTCCTGGGTACAGACAGTAAAGACAGGATTAAGTCAAACTGTACTAAAACTTTTGCCCGACTCTTCCTTCTGGGCCCAAAGCTGTCCCCTTCTAATGCCATCTCCATGTGAGCCCCATTCACTGTACTTTATCCTGAAGCAGAAGACACAGGCAGGGGCTTGAGGCAGTGAGGGCAGAGGGTTCCCATTTTACCACTATGGTCTGGAAGGGGGAGCCCCAGATCTCACATCTCCCCTAAGACAAATCAGAAGAGAGGTTTCCTCCATTACTGATGGCATTACTGAAAATTTGTTCAATCCAAAAACATCAAGTGAACGCACTTGAGCCTTCGGCACGAAAACCGCTTTCAACATCCAACATTCACTTCCATGATACAATGAGTGTTTAAAAAGAAGCCAAGATATGTTGGGTATGGGGGCAGGGACAACTTCTGGTTCCCCCTCTCACGACTTTCAGAACATTAAATGAAAACTCTAATGATAACAAATCTAAAAATGTGAACCATTACCTCACTTCTCACTAGGCCATTCCAACATCAATTTTTATTCCAATCAGCTGAGAAGCCCAGGGTAGTGGTTGAATCTTACACCAAATCCACAGCCATGACAGCTCCTGAGCTCTGTCCTTTCACTAGGAGAGACCTTCAAACTCATCTCTGCCTTCTGTTCTCCGATGTTCCCAAGCTGCTCTTTGGGAACAGAAACTCTAGAACTGGGGTTTTGCCATTTCCTTGCCACTGCGGGTCCTGACAGGCCAGTGCGTTTCTAGTCAATGCTCAGAACATCAAAGGTTACAATCGATACCTACCATCCATATAACTGTGCAGGGCTGTTAACATCGTCCCGTCTTGGGGCACATATGCAGAATAAGCCATTTCTTCTAACATGGGGGGAGACAGCCGTGAAGGCTGAACCGCCGTCACTGGAGCCGTGGAAGAATGATTGGGGCTAACGTGTTTCTTATGGCGTGCTCTGCAATTTTGAAACCAAACCTAGGGGAGAAAAGACAAGTCATCAGGGTCACAGATCCACCCTGGGGCACGTCCAAACTCATCCAGCTATCGCGATGTCAGAGCATAGTCAACTGATCAACACGCATTTATCAAGCACCTACTACATACACTCTGGTAAATGCTGGGGATACAAAACCAATGATAAAGCAATCCCTGTCCTCAAGGCGCTTACACTTTAGGAATGGACTACATTAAAAACAAGTGCACAGTACTGGGTGGGCGGGAGTACACTAACCACTGGGGGTGAAAACAGGAAAGCTTCCTGTAGGAGGTATCAGGAGCTGAAGCTTCAAAGGAGATAGAGCTACCAAGATGAAGGTCAGGAAAGAGAATGTTCCAAGCCCGAGGGACAGCCTCGCTGGGCATGGAAGTGGAAGACCAGTGACGTGCATGGCACACAGCTCATAGGTCAGTCTGGCTGGAGGGTGAAAGGAATTGAGGAAGAATTCAGAATCAGCCTGGAAAGAGGATGTGGAGCCAGGCTGGGAAAGGGAGCAATGTGGAGCCCCAGAAGCTTCTAGAGCAGGGCAGTGACCCGGTCAGCCTTCCACCTTAAGGCTCTCACTGGCTGCCCAGAAGGCAGATTTTAAAGAGGAAAAGGCCAGTTGTGGGAAGTCCACTTTTGGAAGCTGTTGCAATAACACAATCTGGGGCTAAGTGTTGCTGAGGGCACAGATAGGGCAAGGTGAGTAGAGACAGGGGCCAGACATTCAAGATGCAGATCAGCAGAGCTGCAGCTGAGTGCATGGGGTGGGAGATCGACTCCTCGGGCATGAACCTGGACGGCTGGAATAATGGCGGCAGCCTCAAGGGAAGCCCTGGACAGGCTCTACGGGCACAGTGCACCTAGCAAGTATCCTGGGAGGAACGTTATCTAGCCAGAGACTGGGGGAGAGAAGCAATAATTAGAACACATTATGCTAGAGGTCACGGGACTGGGGAAAAGTCCTGGCCCCAAATGGAACAGGAGTTCCTAATGTGTACAGGTCCTATCCCTCTGGTGACTCTTGAGGGGCTAACGCCAGCCACCCATTGCCTTCAATTTCTCCTGCATACACATAGAGGTGTTTGTGGTCTATGTTAGAGTGTGCCTTCCCTGAGGGCAGGCGCCAATTCACAGCTCTACCACCTCGAACAGGGCCTGGTATACAGGCAGCACTTAACAAATGGCCATTCAGCACTTGAAAATAGTAACTCATTTGTAAATAGACCCTTGGAAACTTCTCTTCTAAAATCTAACCATATGGATCAGATGTCCTCAAATCCTGTTGCATGTATACAGCTGGGGCATAAACCTACCATTTTTTAAAAAATCTGTGGTTTTCACTACAGCCAATACAGACAAAGATGAAAGGACTACCAATGGTGAATCCAGTGTTTCAAGTGCAATTCAGCCAACGCCCTCTGAAGAAGATGTTAAGGAAAGGCACTGGCGGACTCTTGGGTCTGGGCCGGACTGGTTCTCCTCTGCTGGCCACGCCTCCACCTCTCCCAACAGATAGGCTATTCCCCAAGGCCAGTTGTTTGGTAAGAAGCCGCAGTGATGGCCAAGTAGGATATTCCCAGGCCATTCAGGCTTCCCTTGGGGTCTGCTGGTGAGGGTGAGGCCCCCACGGCATGTCTGGAACCCTCTACCTTCACCACGTTTTTCCTTATGTCAAGCTGACGTCAGCCTGTCTATAACAGGTACCCGCCGCTCCTCGGTCTGCCCGCCTGGGCCTGACTGAACAATTCCAGTCCCCTGACCACTGGAGAGCCCTGCAGATACTTGGAGGCAGCCCTAAGATGCCCTCCCATGAATCTTTGAGGCTAAGGGTCCCCAGGCTCTTCACAAGAGGCCAATGAACCAATGATCCTTTGGGTTCACTCTATGGCCCGATGAAAGTCACAAAATCCAGGGTGGGTCAGGTGCTGCCCCTGGGTGCACACAGCACTGCCACAGTAAACTCTGCTTGGGGAGGACAGTAACGCCTAGAATATCATCGTGCGGGCACTGCCTGGACTGCCTTTCTCCCCAGAGCCTAGCACACAGCTCTGCATGCAGAAGGCACTTAATATCTGTGCGTGGAGAAAAGGCCTCCGGGAAAGGTCCAGGCACTAATGTGGCTTAGTGTGTCTCCTGGTGTGACAGGGAGATGGGAGGAACCATGAGCCACACAAGGGCAGCTGAAGGAAAGGGCAGAGGCTCCTTTGGAGTCAAAGACCCAGCCCAAGGATTGGCGCTGCTGTCCACTTCCGGGGAGATCACGGGTAAGCAAGGGAGTATCTGGATCTGGGTTTCCTCATTCATAAAATAAAACAAAGGGGCCCAAGTATCTATAATCTCTTGAAACTATCATTGTAGGAGCCCATCTGGATGCTGTGCACCTAGAGCTGCCCAGGGCACGGCAAAGGCTGGCTGCCAGGGCCAAGACAAACTTCAGTTACTGCCGATTGTGCCCAGGGTTCCGGGCATTGGGGGTGAAGCAGGGGTGACAAAAACCAGCCTCAGGCCTGGGCTCCAGCAGCTCCCACCGGCCATCCCAAGGGACCTGAGAGGACGGGCAACTTCATGTGGAAACACTGAGAGCCAAAGCTTTCCTACAAAAACTGAATTTATTGCTTGACCAAATCACTTAAAAACAAACAGACGGCCCCAGACGGCCAACTAGAAGAAAATACAGAGGGCTCTGTTTGTCAGTGAGCTTGACTGGCTTGTTCCTGCCCGACCCTCTGCAGGATCAGAAACGCAGCTGAAGGAATCTATGGACTGCTCCCTCTATTCTACATTCTGTGTGCATGTGTGTGTATGTGTATGTGTGTGTGCCTGTCTCCCCGTGTGTGTGTGTGTGCATGCCTGTCTCCCCATGTGGGTGGGTGTGGGTGTGTTTGTGTGTGTGTGTGGGCGCCTGTCTCCCCATGTGGGGGTGTGTGTTTGTGTGTGTGTGTGTGTGTGCGCGCGCACGCGCACTCCTGTCTCCCCGTGCTGGTAGGTGTGTGGTGGGTATGTCTCTATCTCCATCTCCATCTCCTCAGAGCCTTTCCATAGGACCTCACCCAGGCTGGCAGTGGCCTCCATCCTCAGCTCTGTCTCTAAGCAACCCAACTTCTTTCCAGGCTGAGCTCAGGCCACCGTCCCACCAAGAGACCTGCCCCAGTTAAATTCACTTTCTCCTCAAATTATTTTGATTTCATTTGTACTTATCTGATTTGTTTGGCATCTGCTTCAGGGACTTGCATTTTTGTATTCCAAGTCAGGCACTGTGCCTAGTACATAGTAGGTGCTTAATAAATGCTTCCTGAGGAATATGAGCTGCCACAACCTCTCGCACCCCCAAAAAATAAGCTTCTGTACACAAATCCTAAGAAAGAAGACTCCTGCCCACTCTACACACACACACACACACACACACACACACACACACACACACACGAGTCTTTTCCTTCTGTGGGATGCCCATTAATGCCATAGGCGGTGTTAAGATGGTTATGTCTAAGAACCACATCACCCATAACCAATTGAATAACCAATGAAATGGCATCCAGAAACCCAGGTCACAGATAGGAGTCTCCGAAAGGACGTGACCCCAAGTTTCTGAGAAACAGGCATTTTGCCAAGAAACCAACAAGAGGGAGTCAAAGAAAATGCAGGCCAATAACACCACAGCTGTCAAAGCCTGAGCGCTAAACCTTCCAAGACCAAACCCCTCAGGCCCAAACCCCAAGGCCAATGCCTGGCACAGCAGCCCCAAAACGGCACCAAGGATAACAAAGCCTGGTTCTAAGGTTGCCAGAACTACTAATGCCAAGCCAAGTCTGACATGGAGGTCACCAAATATGGCCCCAGGGTCACCAAATCTGACACCAAGGTCACCGAACATGGCCCCAGGGTCACCAAGTCTGACACCAACGTCACCAAATACGACTCCAGGTCACCAAGTCTGACACCAAGGTCACCGAACATGGCCCCAGGGTCACCAAGTCTGACACCAAAGTCACCAAACATGGCCCCAGGGTCACCAAGTCTGACACCAAGGTCACCGAACATGGCCCCAGGGTCACCAAGTCTGACACCGAGGTCATCGAACATGGCCCCAGGGTCACCAAGTCTGATTCTAAGGACATGAAGCCCTAAGATGATTAAGCCCAATCCTGCCGAGTCTATCCATCCTAAGGCAGGCAAACCCAAATATTCTGCGGCTAAGGCTACTAAGCCCTAAGCCTTCAAAACAGATGCTTCGGCAGTGAAGGATCTGTTTAAACCCTCAAGTGCCATGTTTTTCTCTCAGCCAGGGTATGACTCCCCACTATTTGGTACAAATAAAAAGGTGAGTCATTAAAAAGGACAGGGAGGGGAATTTCACCTGTGTCAGCCTACCACCCCCCCCCCCCCCCCCCCCCGTTGCTGAGGCTGAGATGGTCTTTTGGAAAAGATCAGCGTGATGGATTTTTGTCCTCTTGAAAACTGCACAATCCAGTTCATACATCACGAGTGGAACCCAAGAGCCAAGGGCCTGAGTGTTTCTGAAATGTTCTAACCCTAGGAAGGAAACACAGGATAAGATGACAAAACCAGGCTGGCCGTTTTAGGGGCAGAGTAGGATTGGTGGCTCTCAGATGCTGGCACATACCTTCTGTTCCCTCACAGATGGACCAAACAACCAACTACCCACCCCCTTATTTACTGCAATGCAAAAAAAAAAAAAAAAAGAGATCTGCTAGAACTCAGTCAACTCTTCATATCTAAAACCCACTACCCCGCAAAGCTCTCCTTGCAGACTTCCTTCTAGGATCCCTAGGAGAGGCAGCCCCCTGGAAAACTTCAGAAAATCCCTTGGAAATGAACCTCACCCAAGTTTCCTGTCCCCCCCAAGGCCACATCCTCAGTGATTCTATACCTTCCCATGCCCTGGCAAGGTGGGGAGATACAACAGCTGAGTGCTGCCCAATGCCACCTCTGACCTCTACTGGCCCCGTGGCGAGAGAAGAGTCACTGAATGTCCCCTGAGCCTCACTTGCTCAAATGTAAATCATGGAAGACTAATCTGGGAGGTGCCTTTGGCCAAGGGTTGTGATACGGCTCAAAGGAGAGAGTGTGAGCAAAGCAATCTGCCACCTTCAAAGGGCTCCAGACACCTCCATCCTAGGATGGTCACAATCCGTTCCTGTGCTTGTAGATGGAGGAATCCTGATGTGGCGAGACGTCAGGAGGGGCAGCCAACCAGCCACCTTCATCTCCAAGCTTAACTTGAAAGTCTGCAATCTGGGTACCCTCGGGGAAGTCTTGCCATCTCCAGGCCCGCAGCAACTGAGCTAACAAGTTATGTGGCACCCGTCTACAGCGGCAAGAGCAGGTGTCTGCCCCTATGGACCAGAAGGTCTGGATGCCTCCTGACCCTCCCCACAAAAGCTTGCAGAGTACCTGCCAGAGATCCCAATCTCACTGGATTCTTATAACCCACCTCGTGATGGAGGTGCTTGTGTGATTTTTTCACACAATAAAATAGGCCTCCAACAGCTATCACATGCTCAACACAGAGTTTCAACTCGAGTCTCCTAACCATATCTAACAGGCTTTTTACCACGTGCCACTGACTTTCTGATAAAGATCTGAAAGTCAGGAATGACCCATCAGAACCAGAGAGACTGACTCCTGCGGGCTCTGCTGCATTACTGGTCACACCCAGCTGAGGCGCTCTGCAGCCCTCACTGCCAGTTGGCAGGAACCCTGCCACAGGAGCCAGGAGGCACTCTTCTCTGTCATCATGGCAATGCCAGAGGGCCTCTGGCCTCTTCAAATGTCTCCATCCACAGACCTTCACAATATATGGAGCTGAAATTATCTCTTAGCCCTTGGGTGACTTCTTTCTACTGGTCCTCATCCTGCTCTCCAGACCTCCGCAGAAGGAATCCTAGGTCTTTCCAAAGGTTGGCCTTCAAGTGCCTGCAGCCACCAATCCCACTTCAAGTCTTCTCTAGGCTAATACGTCCCCTGTTCCTTCCACTCTTTTCCATGTGGACAGTCTCTGTTCACAGCACAATATTGGTCTCACTTCTGTGAACACCCCATCCTTCTGGTTTGACATCCTTCCTCTGTATATGTAGTACTCAGACCCAAACCCTAGTATAGACATGCAATGATCAAAGTAGGAGAGGACTCAGCTCCCTGGTCCTGAAAAATAATCCACTCCATAAGCTAGTCTATGATTCAATTAATCTTCTGGCCTGGGGCCTCATTAATTTGCATGCTCCATCTTGCAGTGTAGACTGTGACCCAGCCATGGCTGCCTGGCTAATGGGCCTCTGGCCCATGTCCTCTCATGCATCCTCCATGGGAGACCTACCCAGAGTCCTGGAAGAAGTTTCTCAAGGAATGAAGGAAGACCAAATGAAGCTGACAAATTACAGATGAGTTACTGTTCTGCATCACTAGGAGTTTCCACTAATGACATCCTAGGTCTGGACTTAAAAAAAAAAAATAGCTTCTTAAAATAACAAGAATGCATTGTCACCTCCTAGCCAGCTCAATAACGCAAATCCTTGGACTTGTGCATTGTAATGGTTTTAACCCCGCCTCCCCTGCTCCTCGCGCGAGGCATGCTGAGCCTAAACATGGGCTGTTACACCAGCTCCTGCCTCAGCTTATCCACACCCTGTGACTCTCCGTGGGCCCTCAGCATGGTGGCTGGTTCTCATCTCCCTCGACTCCTCCACGTCGTGATGGCGACCACTCCTTTCACAAAACCCCGGGCTCCCTAGGCTTCCGTAACATCCCCTTCTGGTTCTCTGCCTACCTCTATGGTCCTCCCTTCCCTGGCCTTTTACTGATGGATGCTTACTCCAGGCAAAGTTCAATCCCTCTTTGCTCTAGTGACCTCATCCATCCCCACAGTCACACGTTAGTAGGGACAGCAATTGGAACTGGAATGTCATTCGCTGGTAGGGTTGGTCCCTCCTCTGTAACCGAGTCTTCGCTGCCTTCAGTAATGAAAGATTCATCAATTCGCTCAGGGTCCCACAGTCATTTTGTGTCTGAGGCAGGGCTTGAACCTACGTCTCCCTGGCTTCCAGGCCAGCTCTCCCTTTTCTATGCCCCACTACCGCTGTCAGGCCAAAAGAACCTCAAGATCCTTTGACTTCTAGCCCTAATGTCTTCCGAATTCCAACATACAACTCCAGCTACCCAGCCCATACTTCCACTTGGATGACAAGAAGTTGGAAGAGATGGGGGGACGCAAAATGGCATTTGCCGTCTCCCAAAGTAGCTCCTCCTCTTCACCCTCATCTCATCAAAGGTCCTCCTAGCAGCTGAGTTTCAGAACTTTGCCATTTCTGCCTCCTCTCTCTTCCTCCAAACTCTCCTCCTTCTGAGCCAGCTCATCACACAAGCCATCTTCCTAACGCCCCTTCCTGGCGGTTGGGTCACGTTTCTACCTAAAAACCATCAACAGCTATCGACTGAAATCCCTCTCGGGGCATCCAGGCCCTGCAGGAGCTGGCCCAGCAGGCTGGTCTTAATTCCCACTGTTTCTCCTTTTGTTCCGACCAAATAGGACCCTTCTTTTCTTTTCTTCCTGAATCTTCATTGGGTTTTCTCACTTTTGTGACTTTACTCAAGTTAGTCGTTCATGAAGGAAGGATGCTCACCGCCTATTGACATCCAGCTTGCTTTTTAAGAGCCAACTCAAATGCTATCTCAACCCGAGCTCTTTCCAGAACCCCCTTCAACAGTCATCTCTCCCTCAGCTGAAAGTCAGTCACACAATACCTGCTGCCCTTTTTATTGTCCACAGTTGTACGAAAACTCTCCTACTACATGGGGAGTGAGTGTGTATGGGTGAGTGTAAGTGTGTATGTGTGTGTAAGTGTGAGCGTGTATGTATATGGGGGAGGGTGAGTGTGTGTGTGTGAGTGTGAGTGTGTGTATGGGTGAGTGTGTGTGAGTGTGTGTGTATGAGTGTATGCGTGAGTGTGTGCATGAAGGGGAAGCAGGGATCTATCATCCAGCAGAGGACCTGACACATTAGAAGCCTGTTATGTGGCCGCTGCCTGGAGAACCATCCCCAAAGTCCTAGCAATGTTTCCTCATAGACCTCTTGCATTTTCTGCCACGCTGATTTGGGCCCTTAGCACCTCACAAAGCAGTCCCTTCGATGAGCACCTGCCTGGCCTCTGCCACTACGCCAACCCCACCTGCCATCACCATTAGCACAATATCCTAAAGAACTTAGGCCACATCCCTTTTCAAAAACCTTCAGCTGGTCCCCCACCCCCTCCCCACGACAGAAGCAAGTGCAAACCCAGCTGGCATTTAAGATCCTCCAAAGCTCTGCTCCGTCTTCCTAGAAATCGTTCTGTCCATTCTCCTCTGGCAGGAGCCCTCGAGACTCAAAGCCACCTCCAGCTCACTGTTCACAACACTCTGACTCCAGGAATGCCTGTCACCCTCCAAATTCCCATCACCTTCCCTGGTACCTCCAAAGAGCCTGATGAAGAGAGCCCAGAACCAGGCTGACACACAAGGTTACAGCGTGGGATCCTGACTAGATGGAGAAAAACATCAGAGAAATCATCATTTCTCTCATATTAGTAACCAAGTATGGAATTAGGACTAAGGTTTTCCCCTTCCAGTTCCCCGTTCTCTCCAGGCAATTCAGCCAGCCGTTGAAGGGCAGGGCTGATAGAGAGAGAAAATCTTGGGCAGATGCACCCCCCTGGGAAAGGTGAAGAGATTCTAGTTGGGTGAAATCCAGACCACTGTGTATTAGTCAGATAAGTCTGAGGGGAAACATTCTCCTGTGTGTCTAGACTACCCTAGACAGGCTGGCATGGTATAAATAAGTCTCCTTCGACCAAGACTGAGTGATCAGAGTCACATCTACCAGACCCTCATTAGAATAAGCCAACCTCTCATTAGAATATTCATTCCCTCATTACTTGTTAACCAATCAGAGTTGATTTCCACCCTCAGGAATACCTGCTCTTCCAAGGGCATACAAGTGCTGAGTGGGCTCCATGAGGGGTTTTTGGCATTCGAGAGCACTGCTGACCCCTTTTATTAATTATCCACTAGCAATAATTAACAAAATGGATAATTATCCAGAAACTATATCTCTCAGAAATTTTCGCTCTCCATAAACAGAAATGCTAAGATCTACCTGTACTTACTTCTCTGTGTACATGTTTTATCTCACCAGTCAGAAGTTCCTCGAGGGCAGGGTCTCTGTTTGTCTCTGTCAGTCTCTGCCTGTCTGTCTCTCCCCACCCCATCCTCCAACCCAGGGCCTTGCAGATCAGAAACATTTGTTGCCTAAACGACCAAATAAAGCCTAGAATCGTTTGGGCCCCCCCCCCCCCGCCCCTGGGAGGCCTGCCCAGTAGTCACCTGGATGACTCTTCTGCTCAAGCCAGTTCTTTCTGCAAGTTTCTGGAGTGTCTGGGCATCTGGGTTGTTGTCCTGAGCAAACTGAGCTTGCATAACCTGGGGAGGCAACAAAGGAAAGCATGAACTTGGCAGGTTTGGCAAATGGGGATCTTTACTCTGCCCCTAGACAACAGGAGGCCGGAGGGAGCTGCCCAACAAGGGAGGGCCTTTTTACTTCATTATTTCAAAGCCAGTAATGGGAAAATGCTAACCACAGAAAGGTAATTTTAATCTAAAAAGATTTAGAATGCTCATCTGGATAGAATACAAAACAGGAGTCTGTATAATTAACAGAGCACTATTCAAAAAGGGAAGAGACTTTTCAATAGTGTTAAATACTGGTTTTTTCCTCTCAAATTTTAAAGTTTAAAATGGAATAAATTCACCTCCCTGACTTTAACAAAATGTGTACACCTGTTTGAAAGTTTGCTTTCAACATCCGCATGAACAAAATTGTCATCATTGTAGTGAAAGAAAGCTCAGACTGCTCAGCACATAGTAGGTGCTGAATAGTGGCACCCCAACTTGTTCTTCTTGGAGTCAGTTAAGAGTTTGATTTGAAGATGCTGGGTGAAATGAGCAGAACCAGGAGAACTTTGTACACAGTAACAGCCACGTTGTGCAATGACTGGCTTTGATAGACTTAGCCCTTCTCAGCAATGCAGGGATCTGAGACATGTCCAAAGGCCTCATGATGGAAAATGCTATCCACATCCAGAGAAAGAACTCTGGAATTTGAACGCAGATCAAAGCAGATTATTTGCTCTTTTTTTTTCCTTCTGTTGTGTTTTGTTTCTTCTTCCTTGTGATTCCTCCTATTGGTTCTAATTATTCTTTACAACATCACTAATGTGAAAATATGTTTAATAGGAATGTATATGTAGAGCCTGTATCAGATTGTATGCTGTCTTGGGAAGGGGGGAGGGGGAGAAAATTTAAAACTCAAAAGCTTATGGAAGTGAATGTTGAAAACTAAAAATAAATTAATAAAATAAATTTTTAAAAAAGAATTTGGTTTGAATTCCACTTCTGACACCTACTAGCTGTGTGACCAGAGGGCAAGCCACTTAGGCTTTTTGAGGTTCACCTTCATCTATAAACTGAGGCTAAGAGGCCTGGCAATGACCATTTCCTAGAGTTTTTCTGCAACTACAAAGTACAAGTGCTTTGAAAAACCTCCCAGTGCCAAGTCACTGCTGTAGTGCCAGGGTTAAGCAGCTAAGAGCCCAAGCTGAGTTTGTAGATGGTGGCTGGCCCGCCTCTGGCAGCTGCTCAACACCAGGGGGCGTCCTCTCACGCCCGGCCTTTATCCTCTGACAATTTACAAGTGGAGGCTCTTAGGGAATCTTTGACTGAAATATACCAGAAAGGTAAACCACCTCCTCCCCACCCAACTAATGTTTTGAAAGAGGGTTTTATTACTATTTGATACAATGTCTCTAAAAGATTATTAGTAATGATACATGCATTGCTATGCAACTAAGGAGGGCACGTCCCCTCCCCCCAAACTACGTGCCAATCTGACTTGAATCTGATCAATAAGGGCCCTCCCCCACCATCATTCCGGCTTTTTCCTCACCCCAGTCCCTTCTCTTCGTTGTTGTTCAGGCTTTTCAGTCGTGTCTGGCTTTTTGTGACTCCATCTGGCAGACACTGGAGTGGCTTGCCATTTCCTTCTCCAGCTCATTTTACAGATGAGGAAACTGAGGCAAATAGGGTTAAGTGACTTTCACAGGGTCACACAGCAAGGAAATATCTGAAGCTGTATTTGAACTCAGGTCTTCCTGACTCCAGGCCAGGCACTCTATCTACTGTTCCACCTAGTTGCCCTCTCGACATATTTTTTATACACCTGTAATTGGTTTGGCTCATGGGTCAAACACGATCTAATATCCAAAGATGTCCAACTCACAATTGCCAGCTTTTCTGCTTACAGCTGCCTGCTGGCCCAAGTCGGGCCTTGGCAGGTCAATCATTACCCAGCATGTAGTAAGCGCTCAAAGCACCGTCCGTACAGATGGGCAAAGCAGCACAAGGTAACCAGAGTCAGACCGACCCCACAACCTCTGACCCCCACTCATGCCTCACTAACTGCCCAAGGCTCTCAGGAGCTGAGCTGCCTGCTACACTGGGAGAGGGCACGAAATCCACTGAAAATCCAGGTTCAGATCAAAGGGAAAACCAGGCTCTCTAAGAGGCTGGTTGGCAAACCTGGCCGTGCCACGTGCACGTGGGACTGTGACCAGGAATGAAAGTCAGGGAGCTTTTCCTGCCGACGATCCTGGTCACGGATGGAGGCAGGCCTGAAGCCAAACATGCCTTTCCTGGAACAGGAAGAGAAGCTGGAGAAAAACGGATGCCCTGATCCTGCCTCCCTTCTGGCTGCGGACTTCAGCCCCGGAGCCCCAGGAAGGCCTGAAGGGCTGGCATTTCTCAATCCAGAATGGTCCCAGGAGCAAGCCAAGACCCAGACAACAGCCCCATCCAGCCTTACCGCCATGCTCCCCAGCCAGCGCTTCCGATGGCAAGGGGCCAGGAGGCAGAAACCCCTCAGTACTCATCCCAAAGTGCTGGTCCCTGATTGGATTAATCAAGCCAAGTGGGCATAATCATCATTATTATTCTCAGAACTGACAGTGAGACGGTGCTTTGGGATTTACAAAAGGTATTATTGTATATTAACTCACCTGAGAAAGTGCTAATCTGGCTTGTTAATGCCTTGAAATTTCTCCCCTAATTGGGGACATTTCTCCACCCATTACAGGGGCTGTTCTCACAAGGATCAAACGAAATCGTGTGTCTTGTAATGTTCAAGCACCACAAAAAGGTCAGTTCTTATTACACTACAGCATGTGAAGAGATCTTCAGAACATGGCCCTTTGCACACTGCTGAGGCTTCTGTGTATGGGCGTGTACATGTGTGTGTGAATGAGAGACACAGAGAGAAAAGGGAGGGAGGGAGAGGTGAAGGGGAGAAGTGAGGGGGAGGGGGGAGAAGGGAGAGGAGAGGGGCAGAGAGAGGAGGAGGGAGGGGAGGGAGAAGGGGGAGGGAGAAAAAGAGTAGGGGGGAGAGAGGGGGAAAGAGAGGGAGAGAGAAGGAGGGGGAGAGAGGGAGGGGGAGGAGGGGGAGAGAGGGGGAGAAGGGGGAGGGGAGGGAGACAGAGAGAAGAGGAGGAAATAAGGGGGAGGGGGAGGGAGAGAGAGAATATGAGAATATAGTTTTTCTAATCCAAGCTGTCTGGTGTATGTAGTAGAAAGAGGCCTAGGGGTTCGAGTCAGATGACTTGGGAGTTGTAGAACCAGCCCTGCCATATCCTAGCTGTGACTCTGCATAGCCAGAGCCTCGGTTTTCTCATGTGTGGAATGGGAGGCAATAAGGTCACATCACTAGCAGCAGAAGGGACCTTAGAAGGCCTAGCTGGCTTTGGTCAATCCCTTCCCTTTACAGATGGGAAAAGTGAGGACTGCTCTCTGTGCCTCATGCTCAGCCCAGCCTCCAGGGCTATTCAGAGCCCCCAGTGGGATGAGGGCTGCAAAGGCCAAAATGAAAAGCAGCTACTGGAACATTCCTGTTTCTGCACAGAGACAGGGAGGACTTCGCCCCTGCACCCCTGGCAGAACAGGGAGCTCCCTGGCATCGGAGAAAACAAGCCTGGGCACTTCACTTTCCCCTGCGTCCAGGGCCCTGCGTGAGCATTTTTGTATTGGCCAAACAGCTTGTAAAGGTTTTTTCCAGGGTCAAGGGCTACCTAAAAATATCTACTTTTCTTTCACTTGAGATGTTATGTTCGAAATATTAAAATACCCGGAAAAAACCGAGTTTGGTTGTCAGTTTTTTAAAATTCTACTAATATTCAGATTAACGTCCCAGCCGATCATGTCACTTGGTCAAACCTCACTTTCTGTGGGGACTTCCTCAGAGATTCTAAAATGACCTTTGTGCCTGCTAAGTCACCAGGCTAAGGGGCAGCATGGCCTAGGGAACAGGGGCACAGGTTGGAATCTTGACCTTGTCACCCATGGGACTTTCATAAATCAATAAAGTCTCTGAGGCCCATTTTCTGAATCTGTAAAATGGTCAACGGTCTCAGTGGTTTCCAAGGGCCTTTCCAGCCTCCAGCCCTGCTCTTCTCTTATTTTTAACTCCACCCCAGGAAATCCAGTCCTCTTCTGGCTCATTGCTGCTTTCTGAATGAACTGTCTGAGGTTTTACTCTCCCTGACAGAGGCAGCCCTGGACCCCCAACTCAAGAGGTTTGAATAACCATGGGGCTGATGCAGCATCAGAAACTGGTGGGATCTGATCCCTGCAAAGGACAGTGACCCCTTCCATCTGACTGGCAGCTGAAATGGTCCCCTTGTGTTGTTTCTGCCCTTAGCACCAGAGCTCCTGGAGAGCTGGGGCTGTCCTCCTTCTCCATTGCACCTCCAGTGCTCAGTAATAGTGAACACTTCAGAATCATCATGGGTAGCATTTAAATAGCACCTGGTATGAGTCAGGCACTGGGTTAAATGCTATGCAATCATTTCATTTGATCCTCACAATAACCCTGGGAGGCAGGTGCGATTATGAGCTCCATTTTACAGATGAGGAAACTGAGGCAGACAGAGGTGAAGTGACTTGCCTAGTCTCACACAGCTAGTAAGTGGCTGAGGCTGGATTTGTACTCAGGTCTTCTTGACTCCAGACCCCATGTTCCGGGCCCTGTGGCACCCCTTAGCAACCCAGCTAGCAAACGGTTTCATTCATTCATTCTCATACATCCCCCCTAATTCTTTTACTGTTAATCATTTTTATGCCTAATGGCAGTTGGTCTTTTCACTGAAACAATCCACTTTTTAAAAGCTTAATTGTATCGTTATCTATGCCGAGTCATCCTATCTGAGGGTAAGCCTACATCCTGGCACCTAGAACAGAGCCTTGTTCAAAAACAGCATTAAATGTTTGTTCATCTATCATTTCCCATGATCCTCCTAACTACCCTATAGCATGATACAGAAAGTTTAAAAGGCAGAAATTTGTATATTAAGTTGTAGGTAAGATTTTGAAGGAAATCATTTTTTTGAAAGACACATCAGTCACATCAAAGGACATGGCGTCCTTGGAAACAAGTGGATGGATAGCTTTCAAAATCACCTTTGGTTAGCTTCTCCTAACATCCGGGGGACTCAAGCCTAGGGCAATCACAGTTACACTAAGGTACACCAGACTGAAAGAAAATAAGCCTTCCCTTTTCAAGAGGCATCGCCAACTGCCAAGCCTCAGTCCCTCTAAAAAGAAGAAAAAGGTCCATTTGATTGGCAACAACCTCTGGGTTCCTGTTCGTGCCCATGTGACTGCAATTACTTCCAACCCTAAAAACACACCATCTCGTCCCTCCTCAAGAGGGCCGAGCGTGCTGTGTTCCAGTGAAACGTAAAATGCTAATATGTTAATGTCCCACAAGCTGCTCATGATACATCTTGATGCTACATAATTTCTCAAAAATATTTGTCTTCTTTGGAAATGATGTGCAGTGACAGAAATGTCTCGAAGCCAATTTCATTGGGCAGACTGAAGGGATCAACATTTTGCTTCCATTTTGCAGAACACCACCAAACTGCCTCTGGGGAAAAAGCATGAGTAGCTGCTGGTTCTATTTCAAGAAATGCCTGATCCTGAACCTCTGTGAACCACTCTGGGGCCATCAAAGAATGTTTCCAGAGCCACCTAGCTGGTTTCCTGAACAAACACAAAGCGAGGCCTCGGTAAGGCTGTAAGAGCCGTGTGTCGACAGGGGCACTGGGCACAGGAGGGAGGGATGTCACTGACATTTCCAAATCCCCCCACTGGCCACCTCTACCTGGAGCTGATCGGCTGTAAAGCTGGTCCGAGCTCTCTTGGCTGGCTTGGGGTGATTGACATCTTGTTCAGTGAGCAGTGCGCCTTCCACACTAATTCCATTGCCTGAATTTCAAAAGAAAAATACAGCAATTGGGTTGATCATTCAGATGAACACATCCAGGCTGCCAGAATCCATTCTTTCCCATTTCTTATTTACTCAATATGTGACCAGTCAGGCAACAATCACGTATTAAACACTTACAAAGAACCAGGGCCCATGCTAAGCACTGAGGATACAAAGAAAGACCAGAACATCGGAGCTCACATGGCATGGGACCAAAAAAGATCCCTTGCCTGCCCTGGAGAAAAGATTTGGAGCTGACATTTAAAGCCACAACACGATGTAAACACAACAGGACAAAAAGAGTGTTTGTGCACTAGCCCTAAGAAAAAGCGCACACACTCTGGGATGAAATAGGCCCATTGCTAAGCAAAGGAATCTATAAATGTATCCGTTGAAGACAAGATGACCCTACTCTCCTTTAGTAACAAAGAAGCATACATTTTAGCTTACCATGTAATACTGAGAAAGACGCCCCTATACCCTCATTTACACACACACACACCCCTTCTCCCTCCTCTCTCTCTATACACACACACACACACACACACACACACACATGTACACTGTTTTCAGGCGAAATATCTATCCTAAAAAAGACAACCAAAGGTCATTGTGACAACGTCTTTGGAATATCATGGTAATATTCATATTTCAATTAAAGGAAGGTCCTTTGGCCAGCCACCCAGTCTCAAAGTATTAACTTCTGGGGAGTATTCCCATCATAGCTTCTATTTATAAGTTCTGTTTGGGACATCTTTTATTTTAAGCTTAAAACTTCCAAAGTATCACATTGGTTGCCAGCGTAGTGATACATGTACATTCGGCTTTTTCAGTCTAGGTCAAAGATGGTTTCTCTTTCTTCACCAGCCCTAAATTCCTCAGGATCTTTGCCCTTGATTTTTTAAAAAGATTCTGTTTGTCATTTAGGATGTGGAATCATTTTCCTTCCCAGAACTATCGGGGATCAATGTTGTTGCCTTCCTTCCCACTGAAAGTCAAATTAGTTCTGTCTTTGTAAAATATTGTATTTATTAAACCTGCTTTTTCCCCCCCACAGATTTCCCCCCTCTGTCCAATATTTATTTAGAAACAACTTCCTTGTAAGGAAAACTTGCAAATTTTTTTATTTTTGAAAGTTTTTTAAAGAATGAAAGTGAATCTGTACAATTATAATTACTATTTCTGGCAAAATATGTTTATCACCAGCTGTCCAGAAATAGGTAATCTGTCCATCAGAAAAATATGGTGTGCTTACTTCCAAAACAATAAAATTTAGTTTGATAGCTTAAAATGTATGTGTATACATACATAATATGGAGAGAGACCTAAATCTAAAGAATAGGGAACAATTAATTATTATAATTGTATTATGAAATTACTTTACACACACACACACACACACACACACACACGGCCGCATGCAATACCCACCATTATTTGGGCTATAATATGACCAAATAAAATATTTTCACCCAACAGTCATGAAGCTAAAATGCCAACTCGTTAACTTCAGCACAAGCATTTGGACACCATGCTACTCATCCTCTTGTCCCCAGCCCCACCCCCCAAACAACACCCGCTGTGACGGAGGGAGAATTTACCATTTTCTACTTCTCTCTTTAAATTGTCCATCATGCAGTCATAATGGACTCTACAGAGGACTTTTTCTTCAACCAAAGCAAACTCCTCCCCAGTAGAGAGTTGTCTCTTGCAGGAGAAACAAGCGAAGCAGGCCAAGTGATAGACATTCCCCTTGGCCCTCCGGACCCAGTCGGTAGAGTGGATGTGTCTCCCACAGCGAGAGCAGCGGGTTCCGTATCTTCTACGGTAAAGAAGAAGGGGGGGCAGAAAAGGGAGGCAGACATTTCATCTTGAGTCAAAATAAGCAAGGAAAGAACGCACCAACCAGACACATTTGTGTCCCTTCCCCTTAACTTGCTCCTGTCCAACATTCAAAACCTTCATGGACCTTCCTTCTAATTCTCCTCCCGCAAGAACTCAGTAGGTTCTGAAAATATTATAATTTCTCCCAATTCAAAAAGAGTCACCGCTCAACAGTGGGTTTCAATTCCAACAGATTCCGTATGAGCAAAGACTGCCGTTATTGCATAATCATAGTCTAGGAGGTTTGTGTTTTCTTGGTTTCTTTTTAATTACTTGCTACTTTGGGAGGGCTTCCAATCTGAAGAACGGGGTAAAAATCCACAAACACAACAGAAGCTCAGGAAGCCGGAAAGCTGTCGTTGGCGACCAGCTCAGGACGGCCAGGAATGGAACCAGGAGAAAACGCCCAGTCTTCCGCCTCAGGGGTGACAAGCTTGCTTTTATAGCCGATCAATTCCAAATACTCCAAAGCATTCCATGACCAGAATTGATTGAAAAAATATGTGGATGTATTATACGTATCACAGAGTAAAATAAATCAGCAGAGTGGGATAGAAAATGGAGACTATTCTGTGACTAAATGAGGTGCAATGGATACCCCCCTGCCCAGCAACCCTCCCCCCAAAACAAAACAAAACAGAACCAGCACTCAACTGGTCCATTGGTCACAAGATATTGGGCTGTTATCCATATGGGGAAAAAATGGCCTTTTGATACTTTCAAGGAAGAGATTAACTGTGGACCTTGTTAAGGTACAAGATGTACCCCTCCCCCCCAAAAAAAAACCAAAACCCTTCATTTCCTTTTAGATTTCATTCCTGGAGAGTATTTGTCAAACTGAGTAATAGTTCCAGGGGTAGAAAGAAGAAAAACAAAGGCACTGGCAAGTTTTCTGTCCCACTTTGCTCCAGTCCAACCAAACATATTTCTGAGGGGCCAACGACGCCCAAGGCCCCATCCTGGGCTCTGAATGCTGCTAAAAGCCATGGCCCACATGCCGACTGCTTCAATGGCCTTTGGGAGTTTTGACTAATGCCGTCCCAAGAGCAATCTTCAACATAAGTAAAATGGTCAGGATATCCATTGCCCCAGTGTCCCAGTCTGAAATGCTACTACAACTGGCCTTTAAACTAGGACCATGAGAGGAAGCGTCCAGTCCTCCCAGGGGGAGCAAAGGAAGCAGACCGAGGCCTTTCCAGCCCATCTGGGTTCCTAATAGAGAGAGGAAGCCAGCTACTTTTTTTAAACTATGCATTTCTATTTTTCCTCATCACAAAACTCTGAATTTTTATGAAGTTACCCACACTTTACTCAACTGCAAAGCTCAAACTCCTGATGTACCTTAATGGTCTCCTTCTCTCACATGTGACATGCCTCTGTAAAAGCTAAATGTTTTCCATTTGGAGATACAACAAAAAAAATTAATCTTTTTCTTGACAATTTTGGAAAATTGTGCTTACATTTGTAAAAAGTGACTTTCTGTTTCCGTACATTGCTGCCCTGAGTTGATTGTTTTTTTTAAACGCATACATAAGGAATTTGAGAACCATTTCAATGAAATTCCATACAGAAAAGATAAGGTCAAGAGAAAAAGGGGAGGGCGTGTTCCAAGGCTACTCTAAGCAGGCCCCTGAAGGTCAGAGTTCAAGGAAGGCAATGGGAAGGCCAAATTTTTTTTTGGTCAAATAACATCTCCTGGGTAGAATGTGAAAGTACATTTGGACTTTTTGACCAGTACCTGGGGGGAATTTGCTGCTTTCTGTGTGGTAGGTACTGATCTAGTCTGCCAATGACCAACTCCCCGAGGGTCTTTGGGGAAGGCCTTGGGACTCTTTGGTTCCATCTTAATAGGAGTTAGACTCAGCTTTGGCTTCCACTCGTGGTCCTTGTAGCTTTGAATTATCTTGGTGGGGCTAGTGGGCAAAGCCAGCTTATCTAGACCCTACCGCCTGAACTTTCAACCCTAAAGGGGAAGGGCTATGTATTTTTTTTTTCTTTATAGTAGAAGCAGTTGATGGACGTATTCCGAAAGGACCGATATCTTTTAAAAAGGATTGGGCACCATGGCTACCCCGGTGAAAGCTATTAAGTCGTGCTTATTTCAAAGTGAATTAGGTAGAAGACTGGACAGACTTCACCAAACCTCAGAAGGGAAAGGTTCTGAGTCGATGCTTTTCTAACCTACCTGAAATAATCGAGTTTGCAGAAAATGTCTTTATCTTTAATGTAACAGCTGGTGTGCCTTCCTAAGGAGGTCCGGCAGACGCTACAGGAGAGACATCGGACATGCCAGCACAGGTCATTCACCTGGAAAGACAACAAACGGAAAAAGAAAGAAAGCTCATCAACGGTTAAGACCCCAACGTGGCCCCCCACATAGGAGGAGGTTCAAAAGCCTTGTCGATGCACATGGGAACACATCAGATGAATGTGTGTCTTCCATTCTAAACCTTGTTATTCTTGAGGGGGAGTGGGGCATACACAGGACACAGACTTGTCTTTTGATTAGTGGGCAGGACACCTAGCCTGCAAGCTCCTTGCACTGAACCACATCACCAGCTGCCTTGGTTCTCTAGAGCTGCTCCATCCCTAGGTCATACCTGCATGTCCCAGGCAGTTTTATGACACCCAAGCCTCTTGGAGACACTGCTATGCTGCCTTTCAACTGAGTGGCTTGAGCTAACATCTTCATCAGTATGCATCTGGATCTGTTCCCTACAATCCCCCCAAAATCTCCCAGAAATTATAACTAGGAAAACGTTTAAGTTCCTTATGTGTTTCTTCTAAAAATTACCATAAAAGATTCTGTTGTCTTTTTTTTTTTTTTTGACATTTTGAATCAGATTTTTAACTTAACAAACCCCGGATCCTCAGAAGGAGGGGGTGGTTTTCTTCCCCCAAGATGTGTGACCTGAACAGTCCCCCACACTCTGCCCAAAGCGCCCAAGCCAAACTGATCTAACCTGAGTTTGCAATCCTGGCCCAACCATACAGCATGGGCTGCCTATTTCCAAAGGAAAGCGGTGACTTCGGTTTTCTACTGAACATCATTTGCCAGGCTAGGTTTTCACTGGGCTGAGCTGTATACTGGCAGCTGTGTTTCAGGCATTCCTCTGCTCCTTGTGTCAAGGGAATGGTTTAGTTACTTGGTGGTGAAGGTTCAGATCACCACCAGAGGGGAGGAGATAGCCGATCCTGAAGGCCTGGTTTCAGAAAGGTCATCTGAATTCTTCAGTTTACAGGAGCAAAACTCTAAGGCCTGTCCTTCCTGGCTCCCCCTACTTATTAACCTGAAAAAGCTTTATTCTCCCTCTGGCCAGACAATGTGAACAGAAATCAGAAACACCATTTCAACACCGACCCAAAGTACTCAAAAATGTCACTAAGTGGGGTGGGGGGGAGAGTGGACCACAAATCTATCACTGAAATCAGTAACAAAAATGAGTTTGTGTGACTGACATTGTCCAAAAAGTCCAGTTTACCTCCAGCTAGGTGATGGTTTCTGATCAGGTCCCAGGTGATAGAATCCTAGAGTTAGTGCCAAGTAGGTATGTCCCTGATGGTGGACACATCAATGACACTTGGCTTCTCAAACCAACAGAGCTATGTCCTCTATTCAACAACGTTTCTGGCCTCGTAACCCACCTCCAATGGCAACACCGTACAAGCAGCTGCCCTTCAAACAGTAAGGACACTTTGGGGGGTTTGTCAAGGGTGGTACAATCAGGATCTCACGTGAGCCTGCATAGAAGGTGGTCCAAAGGGTTTGACCAAAAATAAAGGCCTGGCAAGAGACCACCGGTTCCCCTTCGGCTTACCTGTCCCAATCAGATACCAACCCAGACCCCTTCCAGACCGTCCACACAGCCTCGTTTACGGGCTAACGGAGTAAACAAACTGGACAAAGTGCAGATCTCTTCCTAAGGAAATAGGCATTTCCTTGGTACCACTGGTGGTCATTATAAAATGGAAGCCACGAGGAGGTTGGAAACCCGGGGTCATTTACAGAACCGCAAATATGAGGGCTGGGGTGTCAGCTGAGAAAGAAGGGGTCAAGGCAGACCTTTTTCTTTATTGTTCCTTTGGGGCTTTCTTAGTACCAATAAATGAAGCTTCAGAACCCCAGGGAAAGGCCTCCATCCCTTTGCCTTGAAATAAAGGCGGATCCACATCTAACCTATCAGTGCTATCTTCCTTCAAAGAGAGTTTTGGGATTTTCCTTTAGCAATTTATAATTCTTTTAAAGAGAAAGGCTCCATCCGTTTTTAAAAGCCCACCCAAAATGAACTAAACCAGCATTGGAGATGCTGTATGTCTAACCACATTGGCAGGATGCTGTTATAAGCATGCACCTCAGTTTGCTAAATTCCCCCAAAGGGATGTACTGCGACATGAACTAAACAAGCCAACCAATAGTCTCTCTGGTTAGTGTGTGAAAGACAGAATCTGTGCCCCACTATGGGTCTGAACCGAAGTCTGACGAAAACCAGGCCCAGTGGACCGTACCAAGAGCTCCGTTTTCCTGCCAAATAACATGAAATGACGTGCTCAGTGGCTAACAATTGAGCACCCGATAGCAGCCAGGACAGCTTGGCATCTTCCAGTCAAACTTGAGAAGTCAACAATCAAGTCTGGGTTTTAGGCACATGCGCTTCTCAAAAGATCATGAACACCCCAGCTCCTGAACATGCTTGTATATTCCAAACATGCCCCAAACTGATGGAAGACAGCTGAGGCCTGGAGGTCCAACTCCAGTGTTCCCAGTCCATACATTTTTCTTAAGAAGCTTGATGTATCAGAAGGGCGAAAGTCAAAGCCTCTGAAAACACAAGCTCTTTCAGCAACTTATTCTCAAATACAGGCTCAACAAGCCTTCTGTTCAACTGCTCTGCCCAAGTCCAAACCAAGAAGAGGGTGATCCCTGAAAGGCTCAGCTTCAGTTAAAAAGGCAGGTCTAGTATAGTATAGGTATACACAGTACAAGAGAGGATAGTTTATTTCCTTCAGAAACAATATCACCAATTTGGAAAAATGCAAATTTGTGCTCTAAGGTTTTTAAAAGACATATTAAGAGATCACCTTTAAAAACCTACTGTTAGGATTAGCTTTTGAACTTTGTAATGCATTTATAAAAAGCTAAAATAAAGCCATGAAAAGATAAAGGCTTCACTACAGCCTGGGGAAGCAGCCAGAGAATAGGATTCCCATTCTGTAAATGAAGAAATGGTGATATTTTAAGGTGGAAGCGACAGTATTTTCAAAGTTACATCTGCCAGTGGACTCCAGGAAAGAACCCTCAGAACTAGAAATCGACCGTTCTCGGAGAAGCCAGTTCACTGCTGGGGAGCTCTTTAAACGAGCCAAGTCCTATTCGCATAGAGGACCCCCACCCCCCACTGCTCCAAGGGACCTTCGAGCCTACAAAAAGGGGGTGGAGGTGGGGAAGCTAGCAGGATCCATAACACATTAAGGCCCACGGCCAACCCTCCAAACCAAACCGATACAAATAAGCAAACAGCGCCCCAGCAGAGGCCAGAACCCCCGGAAGGGCGATCGCGAAGCCCAAACAAGCCGGAATAAGCTAAGGGAGAAGGAACCGAAGGGTGTTTCAGGGCACGGGGGTGTGGGGGTGTGGGGGTGTGGGGGCGGGGTGGGCCCGCTTCTGTCTTTGTTGAGTCTTCCAGGTGGCCGAGATGAGCGCAAAGCGCCAAGTCCTGGTGCCAAGGGCCCTGCCCGCATCCTTCGAGGGGCAGTGCCCAGCCCGGGAGCCCTCGCTTTCAGAGAAAGGGGCGACTGTTCTGGGCGCAGTAGCACCTTCGGGTGAGGCGACCAAGCCGGGGAGCAAAGCCAAGCGCTCCACCGTCCCGCCCCGCCCCCGGGCACAGGGTGGGTCGCTCAGGGGGCGGCACTTGGGGGCTGCTGGCTCCCGCGCGGAGCATGCGAGGAAGGGAGACCCCGAGTAACCCCTTCTTCCCTCGGGGAGCTCGAGCACGCGGAAAGCCGGGGCTCCGGCCCCGGGAAGCGTGACCACCCGGATGGGGAGGGGATGGGGGTGCTGCCCCGCGGGCCGTTCCCCACGACGTCGAGCCCACGGCAAGGGGCCACAATCCGGCCCCGGAACCAGACCGTGGGGCTCCCCACGTTCGCTCCTTGGCCCGGCGGGGAGCGTCGGACCCCGCTGGACGGCCCCGACGGGCGCCCCGAAGCCCTTACCTTGAGCAGGTACTTGTCCACGATCTCCAGGCCGCAGCTGCTGCACACGCATTTGGCCGGAGGACAGCCGGGGGCGGAGGCCATGGACCTCGGAGAGGAGGACGGCGACAGCGGGACGGAGGAGGAGCACGAGTCCTCGTCTGCCGCGCCCTCGGGGCTCACCTGCCGGAGGAAGCAGAGCGCCCGGGGCGCGCTCACTCGGGGAGGGGGAGGGGGAGGGGCAGGGGGGAGGGCTCGGGGCTCTGCAGCTCCCTAAACCTCGCCGCCCCCGACGGCTCCGAGGCCCACGGGGCTTGTGGAGCAGCCGGCTCTGCCCTGCCCGTGACCCCCAGGCGCTAGTCCGGCCCGATCCGCCCCCGCCCCCCGCCCAGGCCGCTCTTCCCCTCCCCCCCTTGCCCCCCGCCCCCCATCTCACACACACACACGCACACACACACACACGTGTGTCTCACTGACTCTGCGAACCCGGAGTAATGGGATGGCCCAGCGCCTTCCCAACCCGGGCCGCCCCGGGGACCGAGTGGGGCTTTATTCGCCTCACCCTTCCCCCCTCCCTACTCCAGCGCACACACAAGCGCTCACACTTACCAGGCCCCCGTCCCCAGCTCCTTTCCGTGTCCTCCCCGCCGCCAGGGCTGCAGTCCGCCCGCACTCCTCAGACATGAGCCTGGGGAACTAGGGAGGGAAAGAAGGAAAGAAGAGGGAGAGGAGGGAGAGAGGAAGGGAAAGAGAGAGAGTGAGAGAGAGAGGAAAAGAGAGAGAGAAAGAAGAAGAGAGACAGAGAGAGAGACAGAGAGAGACAGAGAGAGAGAGGAAAAGAGAGAGAGAAAGAAGAGAGACAGAGAGAGAGAGAGACAGAGAGACAGAGAGAGACAGAGAGAGAGACAGAGACAGAAAGACAGAGAGAGAGACAGAGAGACAGAGAGACAGAGACAGAGAGAGAGACAGAGAGAGAGAGAGAGAGGAAAAGAGAGAGAGAAAGAAGAGAGAGAGAGACAGAGACAGAGACAGAGAGAGAGAGAGAGAGGAAAAGAGAAAGAAGAAGAGAGACAGAGAGAGAGAGACAGAGAGAGAGACAGAGACAGAAAGACAGAGAGACAGAGAGAGAGACACACAGAGAGAGAGAGACAGAGGCAGAGAGAGAGACAGAGAGAGAGACAGAGAGAGACAGAGACAGAAAGACAGAGACAGAAAGACAGAGAGACAGAGAGACACACACAGAGAGAGAGACAGAGACAGAGAGAGAGGCAGAGAGAGACAGAGAGACAGAGACAGAGAGAGAGACAGCGAGAGAGAGACAGAGAGAGACACAGAGAGAGAGACACAGAGAGAGAGAGAGAGAGAGAGAGAGTTCACTGCGCTGGGCAGGGAGGTCGGTCCAGGACCCCCTCCCCAACCCCCGCCGGGCTGCCCCCCGAAGGCTGGGTGGAAGGCTGGAGGGACGGGAGCCTGGACCCGGCCCGCCCGCCTGCTGCTGAGGGGCTTCCAAGGGCCCCCTGCCCCCCCCCGCCGGGGGTAACAAGTTAATCACCAGCCACGGACAAAGCGTATTCTTCGCAGGCGTCAATCACGGCGGAGCAGGGATCCCCGGGCTCCAGGCGGGGTGCAGGGGGGTTGGGGAAGGAGGGGGAGAGGGGAGAGAAGAAAAGGATCCGGGAGGGAGCTGGGGGGAGGGGGCGCTTCGAAACTTGATTTCTTTAATAGCGGCAATTAAAAGAGCAAGACATCCGTATGCTTTCAAAGGGGGCCTTTGTGAATTGGCGGCCCCAAAGGTGAAGAGGTTTAATAGGACACTCGAACGCTGATTGCGGCGGGATTGGCGCAGCCTGAGCTTCGTTCCGACCGCAATTTGAATGAAAATGCTTCAGATGGAGGGGAGTCCGCAGCCGGCCCCTCCGCACCCCCAGCGATGGGGGAGGGGCCGGGGGCCTGCGGGGGCGTCGATTTCCCCGGGCTGCTTCTTTTAGGTAGAAATCGCTACTTAATAGCTCAATTAAAAAGAGTCAACATTAGAGCTGCCCAGGGACTGTTAGAAAGCCGCGCCGAAAGCGAGTCCGGTCGTGGAAGGTAACATCCTACTGAATTAAATTTGGGCCGTTAAAAAAAAAAACAACAACAAAAAACCCTCCCCCTCTCACCCACCCTCCCCTCGAATTTTCTCTTTCTCTCTCTCTTTCTTTCTTTCCTTCTTTTTTTTTCTTTCTCTCTCCTCCCGACCAGCTCTCCGTCTGGTCTTGGGCGCGGACACGAGTTTGCAGGGCTGGGGCCCAAAGGAGCCCCCCCCCCCCCCGGCCGCCCCCCCCCCCCCCCTTCGGACCCGAGCTTTCCATTCCCGCTGCCCTCCCGCCCGCGCAGGGTGCCCCGGAACAGCCCCGGATGGCCCTCCACCCCCGTCTGCCTGGCCCCGCTAAGGAAGCCCCCTGCCCCCCGGAGCCCGAGACCTTGACCAAACCGGTGTGGTGGCCGGGGATGCCCAGCGGCGGCCACCGATTCGGCCGCAGACCTGGCTGAAGGGTAGACAGCAGCGAAGCACTCAGACCTGTGTGTGCGCGCGTGTCTGTGTGTGTCTGTGTGTGTGTGTGCGCGCGTGTCTGTGTGTGTCTCTGTGTGTGTGTGTGTGTGTGTGTGATTGTGTGCGCGCACCCCTTCTCCCGCCTCCTGCCAGCGGCGGTCCCCGGCGTTCTGGGCCAAGGCTGGCAGCCGGGCGCCGATCGGGCGCACCTCCCGAGCTTGCGAAGGGCATAGATGGAGGGGGTTCGGAAGAACCTGGGACCTCGCGGCCCTCTCCGGCCGGCCTCGGCTGAAGCTGGGCCTTCTTGGGGGCACGGGCCCACGCGCTCCAAAGATACAAAAAAAGAGATCGTAACACGGTTCCCCGACCGGGGATCGTGCGCGCCAAGGAGGTCCAAAAACCCCCAAACGCCTTCGGTGGGTACTTTTGTCTCGGCACATGAGATGAGCTGTCCTAGCGCGCCTTGGGGTTACGACGCCTGTGGCTGGGGTCCAAGGCGACGCTCTTGCACTTCATTCGGCTGCGGGAGGCCTCCGCAGCTTCTCGGGACCCGCTCGTCTGCAAAGCTAGATTCCGTCTAGTGCTAGCCAGCCTCCCCCACATCGCTGCCCCCAGCCCAGCAACAGTGACCCCAGAACGAGAAAAACCAAACCTCCCACTCACTTGGACCCGAAGCGGCGTTACACCGAAGGCTTCGTTTCCCACATGGCAACTTTCATAACTCGGATTTGGTTTTTCCTGGCGGTGGCGTTGGGAGGGGTGAGAAGATGATGATTAAATAAATAATATCCCAAGTCAGAGCTGCAAAGGGAAATGCGCCCGCGCCCAGAAGTTGGGCCGTTTCAGGGGACTGCGTCTGGGACACACGGATGGCCAGACGAACGCAGGGACAGACCAGCAAGGCGTCTGGTCTGCTGGCTCACCTTCTCAGTGGAAACAGCCAGTTCGGGCACGTCTTTTTCTTCTAGTTTACACACAAACATCTGATCGCTCTTCCAATACATGGCACAGGAGGGCCCGGCTATCACATACCAACTCCAGGAAGGGCCGAGGTCTCTCGTTCCAGCTTTCTCTCGTACCCACCGAGAAGCACTCTGAATAGCTGAAAAGGGGAGGAACTTAAAAAAGAAAGAAGGAAAGAAATAAAGAAAAAAGAAAAGCAAGCGAGCTAGATCCAAGAAGGTCTTGGAGACGGCGAACAGTCCGTGAGCGACTCCTCTAAGGATCCGTTCCCCACTTCACGGATGTCAGTCCCTCCAGGAAAGGGAAGGGGAAAAAAAAAGGGGGAAAAAAAAAAGCAAAGTTTTGTTTTCCAGGGGGTGGAACCTTTCACGAGGGGAGGGAAGAGGAGGGGGGGGGAGCCTTTTCCTGGATGACTAGCCTCACCTCCTCATGTAAAACCCGCCTTCTCTACATGTTAAGATCTTTATCAGAACGAACCAACTCACTCAGGGTTTTGTATTAAACACACACGGGGATAGCCTGTTAACTTTCGACTGAAAAATATCTGTCCTCATGGTTTTTCACAGCTCTCTAGCGCTTACTCTGCGACCATAACCTAAACACAGATTCAGGCTACATCTCTTTTCTGAAATAACCCAGAAGACAAACAGAAGGGAAAGAGAATTGTGTGGGAACTGGGGACTCTTTGGGCCATATCTTCTGAAGCTTCTCTCCTTCCTTCCTTTCCTCCATCCCTCCTCCTCTGGCCGCCTACAACAGAAAAGCAACCGCCTTCCAGCCTGGCTGTCCATTTATCTCCGGGCTTCTAGGTCCCTTTGCTAAAATTTTCTCATTAAGATAAAGAGGCGCATCTGAGCAACGTAAAAGTTTACGGTTGCCACTAGATCTGAAATCTAGCCCACAAGAAAAACAAGAAGTATGTTGCTAATTAGGACTGCTTTTTCATCTCGACCCAGACACAGTTTGAACCCGATGAGTTGCAGTGCACAGCCCTGAGAGGGTCGTCAAGGCAGTGAGGAGAGTGTGAGGTGTCAGATAAAATGTTCTTTTCTGGGGTGGGGGATGTCGGTCCTACAGCTTTCTTGAGGGGTATTTTTTTTTGTTCTTTGATGAAAGATAAATACGTATTATATATATATATATATATATATATATATACACACACACACAGAGAGAGAGAACTAAATCACTTTGTTAAGCTACTTTTCCTTAAAAAATAAAATAAAAATCAACATAGATAAGTCAGATTCTCTCTCAGTTCAACCCTCTAGAACCGTGTGTGACTAAAGTACATGCATGCAGTTCAATCGAATTGCTTTTTTGTTTGTTTGTTTGCTTTTTTGTTTGTTTTTTTTTCACTTCTCTTTATTCCGATCTCTTGATCAAGCAAAGTAAGCATAGATTTGTGTAGGAACAGACATCAAGAGTCCTATCCGGGGCGTGAGGCGGGACTCCACTGGGTTCCATTGCTTGGGTCTCAAAAAGTCATTTGCTCCGATCAACTCAACGCCGATTTTTTTCTCCAAGGTATCTTTTCTCACAAACACACATATATCCCTATAAAACGTCTATTTGTTCCATAACCCAATTCGATATAACTGCCTACAAATTCCTATTAGAAATTCTGCAAATGATAGTACTGACCGTTGAACCTCGCTTAAACACATCAGAGCAGTGGACGACTAATCCGTGCCATATTATTATTATATTACATTCTAGCATATGAATTGTCTATTATGTTACTTTAAGGAACTCAAAATTGAACAGGGAACAAGGCTAGCCTGTGTTTAGGAGGTGGGACTGAGGGTTTGTGCCTTTCGTTAAAAAAAAAAATCTGTATCGTAAGGGAGTGGGAGTGGAAATCCACACGATTCATTTTCCATGAAATAGAAACTGCTTCGAAACGGTTCCTCTGAACGGAAAGACAGGAGGTACAGAATGCTGGATCGATCAACCCGGCTCTAAAGTAGGATCAGGAACAGAATGAAAATCAAATTTCCAGTCGTGGGATATAGTTACAGCCAAAGTGGGCTTTTCTTTGTCTTTTCGATTTTTCTTTTTTCTTTTTCTTTTTAACCAATATATCCAAGGGGAGTTGTTAGTCTGTTCTTTCCGAACTGGAAGCAAACACCCGGGCTTTACAGATCAGAAGTGTGTCTCTGTGTGTGTCTCTCTGTGTGTGTAGCTCGAAGCTCAAATG